ATTGTGGCAGGGTTTCACAGACCACCATGGAACTTCCCTGCAGCTCCTGGGGCTCCCCCGCAGGCCAAGATGGAGCAGCTCTGCACTTTCGCAGCGGGGAAAGACAATAGATGGCCTCTCCTCCAGTGGCGGGGGCAGCGGCTGAAGCCGCGGGGAAGAGGAAGCAGCACAGTGGTCTCAGCGGAGCCCAGGTGCTTCACAGATGCTGCTCCGGCCCCGCGTTGGGCCTCCAACTCCTGACTCGAGGAGTTGCGTTTCCGGTGAGTTTGGTTTTTTGATCAGCAGCCTTTTTCTGAGCACCTTCCTTTTTCTTTTCTTCCTGCTTTTTCTTTTTCTTTTCTTCCATCAATTGTTCCTCTTCATGTGTTTCTTGTTCTTCCTGCCTGGGCTCCGTCCCCTGCGGTGGCAGCTCCCTGGGGCTCCGGTTCTGACAGATGGTGCGCGCCCGACCAGAGGCTGCTTGACNGCGCAGGCGCGCGGCGCTGCCTGGGAGGCGGAGTCCCCGGCCGCTGCTGGTCCCCGTCTGCGCTCCCGCCCGCCTGGGCGGGGGCTGTGCTTCATCGGCTCCCTCAAGGGCCCCTCCGCCCCGCGTTGAACCTCCAACTCCTGACTCGAGGAGCTGCGTTTCTGGTGAGTTTGGTTTTTTGATCAGCAGCCTTTTTCTGAGCACCTTCCTTCTTTTTCTTTTCTTCCTGCTTTTTCTTTTTCTTTTCTTCCATCAATTGTTCCTCTTCGTGTGTTTCTTGTTCTTCTTGCCTGGGCTCCGTCCCCTGCCGCGGCAGCTCCCTGGGGCTCCAGCTCTGACAGAGGGTGCGCGCCCGACCAGAGGCTGCTTGACCTTGAGGCCTAGCAGGTTCTACCCTAGGTTTTTTGGGTTCTGTTTTAACATATGTCAAGGTTTATCATGTATATTAAGCAAGGTGAAAGGTAAAGTAAGACGATAGATAGGTACAGTCAAAGGACTTCTTACAAAAGGTCATCCGTAGGACTGCAGAAACCAATAATCATAACTTTAAAAGCCAAACCCAAGAGTTGACTGTGTGCCTCAGGCAGCTTACACATATCCAAGAGATCCAAATTGTGCCCCTTCTGAATCCGAGGTTTTCAACTGATCCCTGAGTCTGTGGGTGTGGGGGCGGCTTAGGGACTGGGTCCGGTTCCGCTGGCTGTAGGGGCCGCGGCCCCTCTCCATGCTGCCTTGGGTTTGTTTTGTTTATGTCCTTCCTGATGGGTTCCCGGAAATCGCGTGACTCGCCCCCCTCACTTGGGCCACCTAGATTGGAACCCTTGTGCACAGCTGGTGGGAATGTACAGTGGTGCAGCCATGAAGAAAAACAGTATGGCGGTTCCTCAAACAATTTAAAACAGAATTGGCATATGATCTGGCAATGTAACTGCTGAGCATGTTCTAAAGGAATGGAAGCAAGAACGTAAAGACATAGTGTCACCCACAGCATGGACAGGGAGCAGCAGGCCGCGCCACCCATGAATGAGGTGACAGACAGAACGTGGAGCATCATCCAGTATTAAACAGAAAGGAATCTCCAACATGTGCAACAACATGGGCACGCCTTGAGGACATCATGCTGCGTGAGCAAGCCAGACAGACAAGGACAGATAATGTATGGTCCCAATTATATGAGATACCTGGAGGTGTCAGATTCATGGAGACAGAAAGTGGAATGTTGTTTGCCAGGGGCGGGGGGCAGGGGGAAAGGGCAGGTGTTAATGGGCAGTTTTAGTTTTGTTAAATGAAGCAGTTCTGGAGATTGGTTGCTCGATCATGGGAATGTACTTACTTCCTGAATGCACAGTTAAAAATGGTTAAGAAGGCAAATTTTATGCTATGAATTTTACCCCCATTAAAAAAAGTTTTTGAGAAAAGTAAATGGGACTTATATTTTGTAGGTCTTTTTAAATTTCATTTTTCTGGTAATTCATTTTACAAAAGTATCAGCCCGAGAAGGATTTGAAACAAGACAAAACAAAATGAGCCCTTCACTGCACAGCACAGACGCTTCCAGAAGCAATGCCCCGGTCAGGCTCTGCGCAGCTCCTCACGGGTTGCGGGCTCCACTCTCCTGCCACGGTGATCTTTCTAAAGAGTGAGTCTAACTTCATGTCTGTCTTGTGCAATGTTTTTCAGCCTTTGCTTGCTTCAAGAAAACCCTCAACCTCCTCAGCGGGGCACCACAGGGGCCCTGGGCTCCGGTCCTTCGCTCTTCCCAGCCTCGTGGGTGTCCCCGCCAGCCTTCCAAGCAGCCCGGCCTCCGCAGCTCCTGGCCCCTGCACTTGCTGCCCTTCTGCTTGCGAGGCTCTTGCTTGTCTGCAGAGGCCGCGTCTTCCAGGGAGCCTCCCCGAAGCTCTGAGCACCACGACCACAGCTCTTCCCGCATGAGCCTCCTTGGCATTAAGGCGAATTTAAGAAGCTGTAGAAGTGAGAGTTCAGGCACTNAATTGGCATATGATCTGGCAATGCAACTGCTGAGCATGTTCTAAAGGAATGGAAGCAAGAACGTAAAGACATAGTGTCACCCACAGCATGGACAGGGAGCAGCGGGCCGCACCACCCATGAACGAGGTGACAGACAGAATGTGGAGCATCATCCAGCATTAAACAGGAAGGAATCTCCAACACGTGCAACAACATGGGCACGCCTTGAGGACATCCTGCTGCGTGAGCAAGCCAGACAGACAAGGACAGATAATGTATGGTCCCAATTATATGAGATACCTGGAGGTGTCAGATTCATGGAGACAGAAAGTGGAATGTTGTTCGCCAGGGGCGGGGGGCAGGGGGAAAGGGCAGGTGTTAATGGGCAGTTTTAGTTTTGTTAAATGAAGCAGTTCTGGAGATTGGTTGCTCAATCATGGGAATGTACTTACTTCCTGAATGCACAGTTAAAAATGGTTAAGAAGGCAAATTTTTTTTTGTCTTTTTTCGTGTCCGGCAACGGATCGCAACCCTCAGTGTCGCACCCGTACCGGACCGGGACCGGCAACGGGATCGCAACACTCGGCGCTGCACCCGCACCTCGCTCAGCCAGTGAGTGGGAACCAGTCTGTATGTGGGATCTGAACCCTTGGAGGGAGCACCGCCGCGCTTCCCAAGTGGCGCACTGTAGCAGTGCGCCACCGGGCCGGCCCAGAAGGCAAATTTTATGCTATGAATTTTACCCCCATTAAAAAAAGTTTTTGAGAAAAATAAATGGGACTTATATTTTGTAGGTCTTTTTAAATTTCATTTTTCTGGTAATTCATTTTACAAAAGTATCAGTCCGAGAAGGATTTGAAACAAGATAAAACAAAATGAGCCCTTCACTGCACAGCACAGACGCTTCCAGAAGCACCGCCCCGGTCAGGCTCTGCGCAGCTCCTCATGGGTTGCGGGCTCCACTCTCCTGCCACGGTGATCTTTCTAAAGAGTGAGTCTAACTTCATGTCTATCTTGTGCAATGTTTTTCAGCCTTTGCTTGCTTCAAGAAAACCCTCAACCTCCTCAGCGGGGCACCACAGGGGCCCTGGGCTCCGGTCCTTCACTCTTCCCAGCCTCATGGTGTCCCCGCCAGCCCTCCAAGCAGCCCAGCCTCCGCAGCTCCTGGCCCCTGCACTTGCTGCCCTTCTGCTTGCGAGGTTCTTGCTTGTCTGCAGAGGCCGTGTCTTCCAGGGAGCCTCCCTGAAGCTCTGAGCACCACGACCACAGCTCTTCCCACATGAGCCTCCTTGGCATTAAGGCGAATTTAAGAAGCTGTAGAAGTGAGAGTTCAGGCACTTTGATGGGCACTGAGAGGGAAGCTTTAGGCAAGCAGGCTCCTTGGTGTGTATCAAATGCTGCCTGCAAGGTCCCCTGGCCTCTTGCCCTGTGCCTGTGTCTCCCACGTGTACCTACTGTTTTTTTTCTCCAGCCATGATTGCAAACCAGAGCAATCCAGGCATCCTTGAAAGCCCTGCAAGACAGCTGTGGCACCAGACTGGTGGGCCCCAGGTGAACCCTCTGGGGACTGTACCTGGGACCCCACCCTGTTCCCCAGCCTTCAGGTTGTAAAGATTCGTGTTCTCTTTCAATCTGAAAGAATGGAGGCTTCCCAGGCCAGGTTTTTTATGGGGGTTGCCTGGCGCAGGCAGCAGGCCTCCCTCTGCAGCTGGTGTCCCGTGCACCCTGGTTCCCTTCTCTTCTCCTGCAGCTGATATCACCGCTTGCTTCCGGCCCCGCACTGGCCCAGGTCCTGCACTGGGTGTCTGGATTCGAACTGTGTGCCTAAACCCCCAAATNGCACTGGCCCAGGTCCTGCACTGGGTGTCTGGATTCGAACTGTGTGCCTAAACCCCCAAATAAGTTACTTTCTAAAATTTGCCACATGATAACTGCAGACAGAGGGGGCATCTCCTTTTACTTCGTGATAGATACAAGAAGGGTGGCATCCTTCCAAGGTCCAGCTCCTCCTCCCTGGGTACCCAGTTCCCAGCCTCCTGGTGGTGGTGTTTTTGTTTTGCTTTATAAACAGCAGGAAAATCTTTGTTACACATAGACTCAACATAGGAATTAGGAATTATTTATCATTTCCTGCAATCCTCCCAGGTATAATAACATCAGATCCAAACTGGAAACTATGTGTGGGCCTAAATCCTACTCGAAACAGTTGCTTGTGGTTCATACTGACTAGTGACTGGCAAATTTACACAAACAGATAAATATTATTATTTGGTGGATAAGCAAATAAATTAGTTTTATAGGATTTAAGCACCTTCCATGAAAGCTTTGGTTAATCCAAAGATGTGCCTAATCATACAGGTTGCTAACTCTCCAACACACTTTCCCTGAAGCCTGGCTCTTAGATTAACAGGAGGCTGGACCCTCCCCCTGCAGTCCTCCTGGTTAAATGGTGAGATATACAATGCTTGATAAGGAGAAAGATGCATTGTTGACATATTTAAGCCGGCTGGGAGCCTTGAGGATTTGAGATTTGACCTACATACAAGGGAAGGGGCCTTTCGCTGGCCATTAAGTGCTGGCGAGTTTGCAGAGGACAATGGCATTTTGAGATGACCAACACTGTATTCTGGCCACAAACGAGCTCTCTCTGGCTCCACCAGCCCCCAGCTCTGGTAGGA